TCCCGGTAAGACACAGACACTTCAAAACAGCAAAAAAAAAAAAAAAACTTTAATCAAAGAAAAACTTACTATGCAAAAGGTTGGGAGCCAATGCAAGCTGGCTGGAGTCCCAGGACAAGTCCAGACTAAGGTCCATCCAATATGGAATACAAATTCACAGAGAATCCACAAGTAAAACACAATCTAGTCAAGAGGACGAGGCTACACACTGAGAACTAAATGGGGTGACAAGCCACAGGTGAAACTAATGAGGATAATCAAAAGAAAAGGACAAAGACCAGAAGTAAAAACACAAGCAACATACAAGGAAAAGCAATTTCAAAATAAAACAGGAAGTAACTGAAAAGAGACATGAAACCTGCACATAAACAAACAGTGGTGACCGACAAAGAGACACAGGAAACAGTAAAGGAAAAAGGAAAAAAAACACACATAAATGAAAACTGAGCTTAAAATAAAAACAACCACATTTCTAGCTGAGTGCTTCATGTTTCATGTCAGTGGTCCAGTGGGTGAAATACAAAGAAGTTGTTTGCACTTAATGTGTTTATTTTCTTATCCATCGTGCAGTATTACAGAGGAGGCATCTGATGAGTCCCAGATTCACTCTGCAGCAGAAGCCAGAGAGATAAAGAGCTATCTTTAGCTACAAGACTGAATAAACCACACAGAGCCTTCAGCTCGACATCATGTAGTCAGTCTGTGATTACATGAAGAGACGAGACACTACGACAGCCTAAATCCACAGAAGAACAACCGACCCGCCAATTACCTTGTAATGTGGTTTAAGTTTCTTCAGTTTATTTAATTTTGTTTGAAGGGACCTGATAAATAAAATATATTAATGGTCTTTATTCATTATGGAAAACTTCATACATTACAATGAGGGCTTACACTTTTTACAAAGCAGTTTACACTTGTGAACAAAAGTATCATCTCATGGCAGTCTTGAGTTTTCAGTGACTCCTATGACTGTGAAATTTCTGTGGAATCACTGAAACCCTTAGTCACAAAAAACAATCATGCATTTTGGTTCATTCACAGATTTTTTACAGATCCTCTGGAAATATGACAAAACCTCAAGGTCAACAATATACATACAGAAGTGCTATTTGGTTAAATGTCGCTATTGTCACCTCAATTAGCTATTTTTGGTAGCCTCTACAAGCTTCTGGATCTTTCTTTAAACGACTCGTTGGAACAGACTTCAACTAAATTTGTTGGCACCGTTTCTGACACAGATTTGGTTTTTTTTCAGCTCAGTCCACAGGTTCTGGAAGGGGTTTACGTCAGGACTTAGGGGAGGCCAGTCTAAAACCTTTATTCTACCTAGATTTAACTATTTATTTATCACGCTTAATGTTTGTTTGAAGACATTGTCTTGTTGGAACACCTAGCTGCGTCCAAGACGGAACCTTCTGGGAGACGATTTCAGGATTTCCTACATACTGTGAAGGTAATCCTTCTTCATTCCATTTAGTTTGTGTAAACACCAGTCCCACTGGCTGCAAAACATTCCCAGAGCATAATACTGCCACCACCATGCTTGACTGTGGGTATAATCTTCTTGGGGTTAAAGGCCTCACCTTCTCCAAACATATTTTTAGTCATTGTGGTTAAATAATTACATTTTTGTTCTATCTGATCAGAAGGCCTTTTCTTTGTTCATGTGATCAGCAGCACACTTCGATTGAGCTTTAAGGTGTTGTTTCCAGAGGAAAGACTTCTGTCTCGCATGGCAGCCACTCAGCTCACGGTGATGTAAAACACACTTGACTGTGGACCTGATGCCTGTGTTCCAGCAGCTTCTAATTCTCATTGCAGACCTGCTTTTTGGTGACTCTTGGTTGACCCCTTGACCGATTGTCTCTCAGCAGCAGGTGGTAGTTTATGTTTCTTCCTGATCGTGGCAATGACACAACTGTACCACTCACTTTATACTTACAAACAATTGCCTGCACAGATAATATTGGGATCTGTAGTTGCATTGAAATGGCATCAAGTGACCTTCCTGACTTGTTCAAGTCGATAATTTGCTTTTTCAGATCTCTGCTAAACTGCTTAGACTTCCCCATTGTAATGTTTGTGGCTGAGTCTAATGAGTGCATCAAATGGAGCTTAATTAAATTGCCTCAGAGTAGTCACCAGCTGTAGTCAATTGTAGTCACTCACTAGAAATTAAGAGGCCATGCCAGTAAGAAAATTAGTTTAACATAGCTTACTACATCACCAACACTGGTAGTTCAAGTTACTGTATGTATATTTTTGACCCATCAGATTTTGTCATAATTTCAGAATAATAATAATAAATCTATAAAACAAATAAAATGTTTGATTGTTTTCTTTGTGACAAAGTCGTACAGCTTACAATGATTCCACCCCAGAAAAGGAAGAGTTGTAGATTGTCCCGCTGGCCCTGAGGGGTTTGGAAAAAGTTGGCAGATATTTTGTGGGACAGGATTGTTGGACACGTCCATCCAGAGCTGTCTGAAGCGATTTCACAGATGACAAATGGCGGAGCTGTCAACATTCAAGCGTCTGGCTACGCCCCTGACTGACATGCCAGCATCCAGCGCGCCAGTAATCCGTTCTCGTGATTTCCTTTGTGCTTTTGAGTGATTCTGAATATAGTTCCATTTAAAACTGTAGTTTGTTTACCACTCGCTCCATCTGTTCATTTTGCTTTAAAGCCACACCTGACTAGAGTGTGGATTATCTTTGAGAATTTGTTGATTAAATTGCTCAAACTGTAGTTTTTCAGTCTTATTCTAACAACAACAACAAAGACTGATTGATGTATTTTTTTTTGCTTTTTCTTTATGTCAGAAAAAAAAAGATGATTTGCATTTCAGATTAGGGTACATGTAGGGTGCAGAATTTTGTAATTATTTAGATGTTAGATGTGTTTATTGTGACTTCAGTGCAACAATTTTCATTCTATGTCTCTTTCGGGAGACAATAAAAGCAAACCTGATGACCTGTGAGGACATGAAGGCAAATCCTACCAAAATGCTGATTTGATATTTTTCTTGCATGCACTTCTG